TCCCATACCAGGACGAAACGGCCGTCCAGTGCTTCCAGGTTTTCAATGGTGGTCTAGCTTCAACTGACTCATGATTTAAATCTGTGAAAATTTCCAAAAATCTCCACAAAACACATTCTAATAATAATAATCACCTGCTCACTAGTGACTGACTTCAGGAGACACTTCTGGAGTTCTAGTGAGAAGTCGTTACCAGTGGAGTTCAACCAGGTCTGTTGTGAGATAGGAACTCACTGAAGACAATGGTGTACGGTAGCGCAACTTCGTGGATTGGTTGAAGTTAGACATTAACACCGTTGGATGCCGGCTCAGTGGTCTAATGGTTAAGTGCTCGCGCGCGAAGCCAGTAGGTCCTGGGTTCGAGCCCCGGGTGGTGCGGGTTCGTGGATGCGCACTGCTGAGGAGTCCCATACCAGGACGAAACGGCCGTCCAGTGCTTCCAGGTTTTCAATGGTGGTCTAGCTTCAACTGACTCATGATTTCAATCTGTGAAAATTTCTAAAATCTTCACAAAACACATTCTGATAATCAGTTTTATGTTTATTTAATAAGTGAGTATTTCATAGTACAGTGTAATTTTCACTCATAATGTCATTTGAAACTCATACATTTAATAAATACTTATGCTTTTCATTTTAAACATCACAATGTACTTCAATAAACACGTTCATAATATCTAAAAGGGTTTTGTGGAGATTTTAGAAATTTCACTGATTGAAATCATGATTCAATTGAAGCTAGACCACTATGGAAAACCTGAAGGCACTGGACGTCCGTTTCGTCCTAGTACGGGACTCCTCAGCAGTGCGCACCCACGATCCCACACCCCTTGAAATTCGAGCCAAGGACCTATCGGCCTCGCGCCAGGCGCTTAACCAACTAGACCACTGAGCCGGTTGGCATTCAACGGTGTTAATGTCTAACTTCAACCAATCCACGTTCATAATAGACAATTATAGATAACTCCAGTAGATTAAAATAGAATTTTTAGTAAGAATGACACTTTTATATACACTACTCACTTACTAACTCCGCCTGGAGTCCCTCCGGGGGCAACTGCCGATCCCAAGCCCAGATAAATGAGAAGGGTTGGGCATGGGGTTGGCGTCCCCTTCCCGTAGAAAACTAACTCGCTAAAAAACGCTAACCAGAAAAAATTATTCAAACCTTCTAAACTCTGCCCTGGGAGTCAGAAGGTTTTCTTTTAGAAGAACTATGACGCCTCGTGATGAAAGCCGAATTCCTTCGGAAGTTACGATGCCGATGCCCCTTCTGACAACCAGAGCAACCATTTATTTAGGTACATGGAATGTTCGTACAATGTGGGACACCGAGAGAGCCTTCCAAATTGCTGTAGAAATGAGAAGATACAACCTAAAGGTACTTGGGATCAGTGAAACACATTGGACGCAAGTTGGACAACAACGACTAACTTCAGGAGAGCTCCTGTTATACTCCGGCCATGAAGAAGAAAATGCCCCACATACACAAGGAGTTGCATTGATGCTGTCTAAACAAGCGCAAAATGCGCTTATAGGATGGGAATCTCATGGACCAAGGATCATCAAAGCCTCCTTCAAAACAAAGAAAGAGGGCATTTCAATGAACATCATCCAATGCGATGCGCCTACCAACGACTACAATGAAGATGCTAAAGATCAATTCTACAATAGGCTGCAGTCAATCGTCGAGAAGTGCCCAACAGAAGACCTGACCATTGTGATGGGAGATTTCAACGCCAAGGTTGGAACGGACAACACTGGATATGAAGACATCATCGGGCGACACGGACTGGGAGAAAGAAACGAAAATGGTGAGAGATTTGCAAACCTATGTGCCTTCAATAAGCTGGTCATAGGCGGCACCATATTCCCACATAAACGCATACACAAAACCACATGGACTTCACCGGATCACTCTACACAAAACCAAATCGACCATATTTACATCAACAAAACGTTCAGGAGGACAATAGAGGACGTGAGAACCAAGAGAGGAGCTGATATAGCATCAGATCATCACTTGCTGGTCGCCAAGATGAAATTGAAGCTCAAGAAGTACTGGACAACGGGGCGGACAATATCACAAAAGTTCAATACGGCCTTTCTTCAGGATACTAACAAACTCAACAAATTCAAGATAGTCCTCAGCAACAAGTTCCAGGCCTTTCATGATCTACTCAATGGAGAAGGAACTACTGTGGAGAGCAACTGGAAGAAGATCAAAGAGGCAATCACTTCGACATGTCATGAGGTCCTGGGTCACAAGAAGCACCATCACAAGGAATGGATCACTGTTGATACACTGGATAAGATTCAAGAGAGAAGGAACAAGAAGGCAGCAATCAATACCAGTCGAACAAGAGCAGAAAAAACCAAGGCACTAGCTGAATACACAGAAGTAAACAAACAAGTGAAAAGGGGCATCGGAACCGACAGACGTAAATATGTGGAAGATTTGGCAACGACGGCGGAAAAGGCTACAAGAGAAGGAAACATGAGACAATTGTATGACACGACAAAGAAACTCTCTGGAAATCGCCGGAAACCAGAACGACCAGTGAAAAGCAAGGAACTCAAGGTAATCACCAACATTGAGGAGCAACAAAACAGGTGGGTAGAACACTTCAAAGAACTCTTGAATCGACCAGTTCCACTGAACCCACCCAATATCGAAGCAGCACCCACGGACCTCCCAATCAATGTTGGCCCACCAACAATTGAAGAAATCAGCATGGCCATCAGACAAATCAAGAGTGGCAAAGCAGCAGGACCGGACAACATTCCAGCAGAGGCACTGAAAGCAGACGTAGCGGCAACTGCAAGGATACTCCACATTCTCTTCAATAAGATTTGGGATGAGGAACAAGTACCAACAGACTGGAAAGAAGGACTTCAGATCAAAATACCGAAGAAAGGCGATCTCAGCAAGTGTGATAACTACAGAGGCATCACTCTTCTCTCAATAGCGGGAAAAGTCTTCAACAGGGTATTGTTAAACAGGATGAAGGACCGCGTAGACGCCCAACTTCGTGACCAACAGGCAGGATTCCGTAGGGATAGATCGCGTACAGACCAAATCGCAACTCTACGGATCATTGTGGAACAATCAACTGAATGGAATTCATCACTCTACATCAACTTCATTGACTACGAAAAGGCATTTGACAGCGTGGACAGAACAACACTATGGAAACTTCTTCGACACTACGGCGTGCCTCAGAAGACAGTCAATATCATACAGAACTCATATGATGGATTACACTGCAAAATTGTGCATGGAAGACAGTTGACAAAGTCGTTCGAAGTGAAGACCGGTATCAGGCAAGGTTGCTTACTCTCACCCTTTCTCTTTCTCCTGGTGATCGACTGGATCATGAAGACGCCAACGTCTGAAGGGAAGCACGGGATACAATGGACATCTAGGATACAATTGGACGATCTAGACTTCGCTGATGATCTGGCCCTTCTATCCCAAACGCAACAACAAATGCAGGAGAAGACGAATAGTGTGGCAGCAGCCTCAGCAGCAGTAGGTCTCAATATACACAAAGGGAAAAGCAGGATTCTCCGATACAACACAGCATACACCAATCCAATCACACTTGACGGAGAAGATTTGGAAGATGTAAAAACCTTTACATATTTGGGCAGCATCATTGATGAACATGGTGGATCTGATGCAGATATGAAGGCGCGGATCGGAAAAGCAAGAGCAACATATTTACAAGTGAGGAACATCTGGAACTCAAAGCAACTTTCAACCAACACCAAGGTCATGATTTTCAATACAAATGTCAAGACAGTTCTACTGTATGGGGCAGAAACCTGGAGAACTACGAAAGCCATCATCCAGAAAATACAGGTGTTTATTAACAGTTGTCTTCGCAAAATACTTCAAATTCATTGGCCGGACACTATTAGCAACAACCAACTGTGGGAGAGAACAAACGAGATCCCAGCGGAGGAAGAAATCAGGAAGAAGCACTGGAAGTGGATAGGACACACATTGAGGAAAGCACCCAACTGCGTCATAAAACAAGCCCTCACATGGAGTCCTGAAGGCCAAAGGAAAAGAGGAAGACCAAAGAACACATTACGCCGAGAAATGGAAATAGACATGAGAAAACTGAACAAGAATTGGATGGAACTAGAAAAGAAGGTCCAGGACAGAGTGGGTTGGAGAATGCTGGTCAGCGGCCTATGCTCCATTGGGAGTAACAGGCATAAGTAAATTAAGTAAGTACTCACTTACTAAAAGAACATATTAAAAAATGATCAAAAGTGTCGTATACGACAATAATATTATAATACACTGAAAAAAATTCATAGTAAGCTTAATCATTTTAATCAATTATAATCATAAAATCATCAAGGTTTGATGATTGTATAGATCAAATAGTTATCTTATAAAACATCATATTATTTGACTTCTATAATTAAGAATTCACTGGGGGGTAACTTATTGTAAATTTTAAATATAAAAGTGATCAAAAGATCAAATGATTAATTCATAATAAATAAACAAAACAAATTACTTTTTTTTCAATTAAATTTAACAACAATAAATTACAAATTATATTTATATTTTATTAAAAATGTTATTATAGATTCATGTATTATTTGAAAAAGTTTTGGCGCCCTTTTTTCCAATTCATTATACTATTGAATTTCTGAATTCATATAAACAAATAATTCAAGGGTGAAATTAAAAACAAACAAACAAAAACGAGAATGATAAAAAGAAGAGAAAAAATGGAAAGAAAAATAAAGAATAATCGATAGAGAAAAAACAAACAAATGAAAAGATGAGATGAGATTTATTCTAATTTATATCATGAATATGCATAAAATACAATTATACAATGATTCTTGTGAAATTCCATATCAAATATAGAAATTTAATTAAATATATAAGAAACTGGATACCACACTACATACATACATACATACATACACATGTATATCACATCATTCTACAGGACATAAATGAAGGGATAAAAGAGATTCAAACTATTATGATCATTATTATTAATTGAATGGAAATAAATAAATAATAGTCGATGACAATTCTTAAAATTATAGTGTTTATATATAGTGAATATTTGGTATATTTTATTTTGATGATAAGAGAGAATGATATGTATGAGTGCGTGTGTGTGGGGGGGGTGGGGCCGGTTGGTTAGATGGATGGGGGGTTGTTTGTAACTATGTCTCATTATGTAATAGGATCAATTGATTCACCTGTTATAGAACATAAAATGGAATGTATTTAAATTATACAATTTATATTTATTATTCATTTATAATTATCGAACTGATTGAGATAAATTATCAGAATATGATGATAAATTATTTGTTGAACATAATAAATCAGATTGTATATCATTTGGTTGTATTAAATTATCAATTAATAATTCATTATTTGAATTTGTTGGAACATGAACATAAAGATTAAAATCGGAATTTATTGATTTTGTATAAATATTATCGATTTTTTCTTCATTATAATCATAGGTAGTGATACATGGATATAAATTTTGACAATTTATCTCTTTTAATTGATTAATATTTTGTGTTGTATTATATTGATTGATTGAATTGATTTCTTTTTGTTTTAATTTTTCTGAACAAATTTGATTGGTTACATTTCGACGAAATTTAGCGCGTGCATTTTGAAACCATACCTAAAATTAAATAAAATAGAATCAAATAAAAGTTATATTATTATTTGTTTAAATTATATTTGTGATTAAATATTAAAACTATGGTTAGATTACATAGAGATTAGATATAAGTTGATGAATTTAGAGCTCATCTGTTTTCTATTGATCAATATATATATGACGTATTAAGGATAGACAGAATGATCACCAGACGAAGGAAGAGTTAGAAAACAGTAAGACTTGACAATATGCCAGCTTAAGAACTGAAGTCAGATGTAGAAGTAACTGAATAGATACTTTACATTCTATTCAGGAAGATTGGGTAAGAAGAATAAGTGCCCCATTAACATACAAAAAAAGGAGATTGTAACAAGTGTGAGAACTGTAGTGTCAGTTATTATGGCAAGCCCATATACCTTATTCTAACTTCCGGACATCCCATTTTATTCATTCTACTCGAGCCATACTTTGACCTTGTCAATTATTCGCTTGTCAGTCTTGACTGTTTTTATATGAGCGTATATGTGTGTGCCCTTCTTATCGCATTAATCACATGTCTGTAGCTTTATTTTGTCTGACTATAAATATTGAGTAACTCTTGACTAAAATGGAGTTGGCTTCCCAGCCATCTTCCCAGTGCGTCATTTCGTTTTGTTCTATCGCATTCACTTTACATACAAAATATATGTATTCAAATGCCATTCTCGTTAATTGACTTATTTAATTCCGTTATGGACTAACGTGATTTAAGTCGACGATGATATACGAGAATCAGCGATAGCAAACATTTATACGATCTAATTGGAGTCACATCCAACGGCCACTAAAGAACTATAGAGGAATCGTACTACTAAAGGAATTAGGAAAAGTTTTCAAAAGAGTGTTTCAAAACCGGATGAAAGATTCAGTAGATGTATAGCTTCCAGATCAAAAAACCGGATTCCGTATGGATCGGTTGTGCACAAACCAAATCATATTTGAACAATCATTTGAGTGGAACTCATCACTATACATCAACTTCCTTGACAATGAGAAAACATTTGACAGAGTGGACAGGAGGACATTATGGAATCTTCTTCGACACTATGGAGTACTTGAGAAAATTATCAGCATCCTCCAGAATTCATACGAATGAGTACCCTGAGAAGTGTCACCTGAAGGACAGCTGACAGATGCATTCCAAGTGAGGACTGTTGTCGGACAAGTCAGCCTACTCTCCCCCTCTACGTTATTCTGATGATCGAATGGATTATGATGTCCTCCACGTCTCAGGAGAAGCACCGTATACAACGGACTGGCTAAATGTAATTTGATTATTTGGAATTTGCTAATGACCTGGCTCTTCTATCCCATACACATCAACAAATGTGAGTCAAGATAACCAGTGTGGCAGGAGCCTCTGAATCACTGGGCCTCAACATACACAAGCGAAAACGCAAGATCCTCAAATACAACGCTGAGAGCATCAACACAATTACACTCGATGGAGAAACTCTGGAAGAGGTGGAATCTTTCATGTACCTGGGATGCATCATCGAGGAACAAGGAGGATCTGATGCAGATGTGAAAACGAGAATTAGCAAAGAGGGGCTATCATTCTTACAATTGAAGAACATGTAAAACTCAAAACAACCATCAATCAACATCGAATCCAGAATCTTCAATACGAACGTCAGGACAGTTCTACTGTACAGAGCTGAAACTTGGAGGACGACCACAATCATCATCGGAAGTGTACAAGTGTTTATAAACAATTGTCTACTGGAGATACCCAATGTCCGTTAGTGGGATACCATCAACAACAGCCTACTCTGGGAGAGAACCGATCAACTTCCAGCTGAGGGTGGAATCTACTTATCTTAAAAGTTCAGTTTACTAAAACAGTCATTTTTATGTGATTCTCTATAGATCTTATATGACACAAATCAGGTAATTATCAGATATACAGATAAATCAAAGATGGGCTTGTCCATTACTCAATTTTTTTTCTATTTACAATCTCCAATTTTCTTTTCAATTTAGGACTTAATCAATTCCATATCTAATGGATAGTTGGACAGTCTAATATAAACTACTGAAATGCTATAAAGTCATAATTATTGACAATTGGTTAACATAACATTAAACCATATGACCACAAACTGTTTGTGTACTGAATCCTATCAACTATGCATAACATTATACGAGAAAAATAAACAAATACCCATTGTCTTTTTACCAAGATAAATGCTAATGGCCATTGATATGACGAAAAATTATTCTTCATAAATTAAAGAGATTACATAATAGAAAACGTACATACTGCACATCGAAAATTAGAGCAAAGTTTGTTAAATCACAAAATTTACTCTAAAAAGAAACTTCCTTGTAAAATAAAATTAACCTATAATAAAATCACCTATCAACAAAAACCAAAAACTGAGAGATCGTAGAATTGATATTATCATATTCAATAAATGTCTTATAATAATCGTTTGACACTTGAAATAATCTAGGTTTTCAATAATCATCAAGCTTAGATCAATTCGTGATTTCAACTGTGAAAATAATTAATTAGCAATATGGGGGGTGCCTGCGGAGATTGTAGAGTTTTCAGAGTTTAAATTAAAAATGGATCTTAGCTAGACCGACTTTGGAAATCAGGAAGTACTGAACAGTCGGTTGGTTGTAGTATGGGACCCCTCAGAAATCCCTATCCATGACCAAATGCTTCCTAGTTTTCAGTGATAGCCTAGAGGAGATCAGCTCGTAATTCAAACTTTCAAAAGTTTATGCTCTTCACAGAATCATTTGTTGGTACTAAAAATTTAGTGATTAGGGGTGAACTTTAAGATTAGATTCCTCGAGTTTTAGTTGGAATCCGTGACCAGTGAAGTTTAACCATCTCGTGTGAGTAAGGTACTCACTGAAAACAATGGGAGATAGATAAGCCGTATTATCAGTCGACTGGGGATAAACCTATGTAATAGTGGTCTACAGGCTCAGAGATCTAGAGGCCAAGCGTTAGCACTCAAAACTGAAAGTACAGGGAAAAGCAGCAATAATCAAAAAGTTTCAATATCTTCAAGAAGTATTCAGTTCATGATAGCAATATTTGGAATATTTTCATTTACACTAGTCAACATCACAGTTATTGTGAGACAATTTCATCCAAAGTGGAAAGATTCCCCAAGTTCTATGATATTACAAACTGGAATAACTCTGTTTGGTTTCCTGATAATCATATTTCTTGTTGTAATAAGTCAATTGAATGTGAGTGACTATGTTTGTTGAATTATACATTGTACATTAACCTGATTTGTTTCTATTCAGTAACCTTCGGTGATAGATGGACCATGGATCGACTGAGGTGAGACAATGACACCGTTGGAGACCGGCTGAATGGTTTGGTCGTTAGTGGTGCTCGCGCGAGATCGAGAGTTCTGGATTTGAGTCCCATCTACAGAACCATTGGTGCACGCTCTGCTGAGGCGTTCGACGGTTGGACGAAACGGCTGTCCAGTGCTTCCGGGTTTCTAATGGTGGTTTAGGTTCGATCGATTTATCAATTCAACTCTAAAATTATATATATGTATATACTCATGAAGTAGTTTCTAAATAGACAGTGAAATTATGTGAACTGAAAAACGACCAAACTGAGAGTTAATAAAATAAAATTTGATTATAATATGGCTGTTGAGTTTGATCTCTATCAGTGGGGTTGTAAAACACATGCTGCTCAGTGATCAGATCTTATTTTAAATAGTAATTAAACTATGATAATCAATTTTGCAGTCTTTCAGTCTTGTGTCAAATTCATTCGATTGTCCCCACTGGTGTTCTTGTTCACTACGTTTGGTGTCGCCGCCAACCAGGAGGGGAAAAGTGCTGTTCTGCGAATGCCGTTGTGGGCCCCGGAGCTGAGGTGCTAGTTAGGGTAGTCTGGTGTGGGGTGGTAGCGTCGAGTGTAGTGTTCTGGCGGGACAGCGTTGGCTGTAGCGGGTGCTGTCGACGGAGTGGAGCGGTGGAACATGCGGCTACTGGGCGGACATCGGATGTAGACGGCGCAGAGGGCCAGTGGAGCATGGATGTTAAACGTCCCAGGTGCCGGGTGGATGTCGGATGTTGATGCCCCGGCAGGTCGACGGAGTTATGGTGGTCAGCGCGCCGCAGACTCTAAATTTTGACGGAGAGCGTATCACAGATTGAAGAAACGAAGAATGTGGCACGGCGAGCATGAACCACAGCAAGAAGGACTGCTTTAAAGGGGGGACGAGTGTGGTGTGTGCTACTCATATTGATATAAGTAATATATGATGTTAGTCGTGAACAGAAGGTCTGGAAGCAGAGAGACAAGAGGAGAATGGAAACAAACAATTTGTATGAAAATGCAAGAACAATGAAGTCTGAGTCATTTTGAGACAATTGGTGGACATTTTGCAAATTAAGCATTTACTTTATGATCATTAGATTTTATTAACAAGTCCTGTAGTTTTGTGTTAAATACATTCGATTGTCCCCATCCATCTTCTGTTCAACTCTGAAATGTCTGTACATCCAGTTGACGATTCTCAATTAGGATAAGACGCATGTCATGGATTCCACTGCTAATCACTATCCATCTTTATTTATTCAAATAAGCTTTAATGATTATAAAGAGAGAAAAAAAAGAAACACAACTATATTCTACTTACTTGTAAAACACGTTTAGATAAACCAGTTTTTTGTGATAATTGTTTTAAATCTTTAGAATCTGGATTATGACTAAATTCAAAATAAGATTTCATTATTCTTAATTGTTGATGTTTAAATGATGTACGTATTCGTTTAATTTTTCCATTATTTTTATCTATTCGTCTATGTAGTTTTTCATTAGATAATAAACGTTCATTTTCTGATTTTTTTATAAATTTTATTGATTTTATCGATTTTATTGGTTCTGATTTTGTATCTATAATAAAAATCAAATGATAAAATTTTTTTTAAAAAATTGATCAATGTCAATCAATAAAAGAAAAGTACATTCATCAAATGAATGTCTAATTTAATATATATTCTAACTGAAAAAAAGAGACTTAATAATTTCAATATTCTCTTCATATAATTCTATTCTTTTAAGGTTTAAACATGAGAGTTATCCAGTTTATATATGAATATTTTTATCAAACTAGGTTTTTTAGAGATTTTTAGAAATTTGACCGATTGAAATCATGATTCAATTGAAGCTAGACCACCATGGAAAACCTGGAAGCACTGGACAGCCGTTTCGTCCTAAAATGGGACTCCTCAGCGAGACTGATAGGTCCTGAGTTCGAATCTCGCGAGGCGGGATCGTGGATGTGCACTGTTAAGGAGTCCCACATTAGGACGAAACGGCCATCCAATGCTTCCAGGTTTTTAATGGTGGTCTAGCTTTGATTGACATATGAATATTTGTCAAGATTAAAATGAATCGTTTAACAAAAATTGGGCGCCGAGGATAGAGAAGTCATTATACGTCTAAACTTAATCAAGGGTAATAATCGGAATCGAAAATGTTGGATCTAAGATTCTGATTATTATTCTGAAGAAGTCTAGACAAGTTTAATGAACGAAACGTTGAAAGTATGTTCGATTTCAATAGCTGAGATTATTTCAAATAGAATTCTTACATATCTAGTTTATAGTTAAAGTTTAAATTTTTATACTTTCTATGTTATTGTAATACAAGTCTAGATATTAAATTAAGTATTGATACATCGATATGATCTTTCTTAATTTGTCATTAGCTTACAGCTAAATGAAATGAATCAAATAAATAGTATAGAATAACAGAGGTTTTTTATGCTAACTTCACAAATTACTGCTACCAACTCTAATATAACTACCAACTAAACATTTAACATACTATTAAATTCATACTAGCACTGTATATATATATATATATATATATATATATATATATATATATAGTTGGTATAACATAGATAATTATGTAACTGAAATCAGTTTTAGCATTACTGTATTCCCCCAACAACATTTTATGGTAGTAAACTTATTGAATGTTGATCAAATTACGACCCTTATCAGTAAATATTAACTATGTGATCACATAAGATCAGGTAGATTTTAACTTACCAATTTTATAGTCGGTCTAGTCTGTTTTCAGTCAATTATCAACCAACAGTCACATTATATCATAAAATAAATATTGACAAAAAAATTTAAACTATGCAATTAGCACTCAAGAGCTAGAAGGAATTAGGTTTATTGTGGAATTTGAATGATTTTGGATATATTCTTTCGGGATCAGTGTTGTGCGGTACTTATGTGTCCCAAATTGAAACAAAGCATTTACTCATCATTTTCTGGTCAGTCCCTCTTTAAAACTGTTGAAGGAACTTCCATAAATCACTTGACGTATGTTAATATCCACATAAGTAAAGTTTCAAAGGGTCTTACAGTTAGCTTTCTCAACTCTATATGCAATTCGCTAGCATATTTAAAGATAAGAGTGAATATCTTTTTGTTTCAGTCAGTAATAACCATATTACAGACTATGACTCTCTTCACAGAGCAACTTGACACTTAATATTGATCAGAATCTAATTATTACATAAAAATCGATCTTTAATTTTCGTTTGTGGTCTTTGATAGGTTATTTCTCATGCAAGTCTCTTACATGTTATTAGCCTTCACAAAAGAACTCAATTGAATGACTGTTGATTCCCTGACATTTTTCAAATTTTGGATACTTAGTCAATCTCAGCTACTAAGAGTCCAATCTATTTATGCATAAATAGGTTATGAATATGACTTTTAAATCAGTGCTGCATCAAAAATACATTTTCATTAGTTTAAATGATCATTGGTTTGTTAAGGTTAACGATGCCTTAATTATTTGGATGCTTTGAATATACAACAAAATATATAAAAAAACAGATTGTTTCTATGTGAAAAGTTTTTAGTTAATAAAATATCATTCTATGTAGTTTATTGAAATAAAACTTAACATCTGGTCAAATTCATTTTGTATTGTTTGTTTGAAGCGGACAGTACTGGATTAAAGTCCCTGTGTAAACATGAACTCGGATGCATGTATATCTAACTGATGAATCCTAAATAGGAAAAAACGCGCTTCTTAAACTCCACTACTAGCCACCATTCATCTTTGTTTAACATCAGATCGTTTAAAAATGATTTAATGACTACATTATGTGAATAAAATGTCACAGAACCTGATCGTTTTTCGTTCTTCCCTGGTAAAATGACACTATATTATTACAAAATATTATTTACAAAATAATATTTCATAATGGATATAATACACAAAATGTATTTTAAAATTGAGTAAAATAGGTGACTAAGGCTTAATAATTCCTTTTTAATTCACTTAGTATTGTTTGGCTTGCATCTTCCCAGTTAGTTTTTTTAAAGACTGTAATTGATCAGTCTGTTATTGACATATGTGTTTATTGTGCGTATGCCTCAATATTGCCTTAATTCACAAGTTTTTTGTAAGCAATGATGGATAGTGGCTAGCAGTGGAATCCAGGAATTTGGGACTCGTCAGCTGGATGTACTTGCATCCCAGAGTTGATGTTCACTCTGGAACTCGAAACGCGCTTCCTGGATTTCAATACTAGCCACCATCCATCATTGCTTATGAAAATTCCATTTTAATTTACAAATTAACTTTCAACTATAAAGAATAAAACAGGATTTTATTGGATATTATAGTCTAGTGCTTCCACCTTTTCCATGGTTGTCTAGCTTCTATTGACACATAAATTCAACTATTAATTTACTATCAGAAAAGTTTTTTGTGGATATTATGATAATTTTAATAGTTAAGATCATGTGTCAATAGAAGCTAGACAACCACAGAAAACTTGGAAGCACTAGACTATAATAGCCAATAAAATCCTTTTTTGTTCTTTATAGTTGAAAGTTAATTTGTAAATTAAAAAGGGAATTATTAAGGCTTAGTCACTTATTTTACTCAATTTTAAAATACATTTTATGTATTATATCCATTATGAAATACTATTTTCATCCTGTTGTGGGACTCGTCAACAATACATATCCACGATCCTGCCCCCTTCCCCCCCCCGCGAGATCCCAACTTACGACCTGACAATCTTGCACACAAGCGTTTAATTTACTGTTAACAACAAAATTATTAAATTAAACTTTCTCATAACTAACTTTTGAATAAATTAACAGATTTCACAGTTGTTTTATTCATTATTTCATTTGTTATAGTTTCATTGAATAAAGATTGTTGTTTATTCATTGAATTCATATTTTCATTAGAATTATTCGTTGAAATTTCACATAAATCAGTTAACATTGATAATTCACTTTTATTTATACAATGATTTTGATTAGTATCTTTTAATGTGATTATATTATTATGTACATCTTTATTTGTAGGTATACCAATTTTTGATACAGAATTCACATTTGTAAAATTTCCAACAGGACATAATGGTGGTGAAGTTGATAATGAAATACATATGGATGATAATGAAGGTGAAGAAGATGAGGAAGAAGATGATGAGGAGGACGATGAGGACGATGATGATGATGATTGAGAACAAAATGAATATAATGGTGAAGTTAAAACTGTACTAATTGGTGTTCTAGTAGTGATTGTATTCAATATACAATTTGTATTCATATCATTATTGATATTATCAATTATATGATTAGATTTAGTATTAAATGATTGTGTAACAGTTTCTATACTTGGTAATAAATTAATTCTGGTATTATCCATTTCTGTTATATCTTTTGATTCATTTAATTCATTATAATTTATAGTTGATAAGTTTGAATTTGAAATGACATTATCAGTAATATAATTAATAGTTGAATCATTTAAACAAAATTGTGAATTATTTAATTTATTTAAATCTTTATCATGAAATGAAAAATTTTTAATAGGGATTTGTGAACAATCAGAAAGACATTCATTGATATCTTCATTATGAGCTATAAATAATGATAAGGATAGAAATCAAATAGTAATAGATATTTTTATAAAATATATTTAGTAATTTCAATGGTTAAGATCATGAGTCAGTTGAAGTTAGACAACCATGAAAAACCTGGATGCACTGGATGGTCGTTTCATCCTGTTGTGGGACTCCTCAGAAGTGCGCATACACTATCCGTCCCCTGCGGGATTTGAACGCAATACCTACTGGCTACGAGCGCGAACGCTTAACCTACTGGACCACTGAGCCGGCATCCAACAGTGTTAATGTCTAACTTTAACTAATTCACAAAATTGAGTGACACATTCACCATTGTTTTCAGTGAGTTACTATCTCACAACAGACCTGGTTGAACTCCACTTGTCACTATTTATTTATAGATTTAGATTGAAAAGAGTTTATGATTGTAAATTGAAGAGAAATTTTCATCTTTACATGAAATATTAAAGCATCATAATGTAGAATACAAGAAAAATATTGGGTGTTGATATTAATCTGACCATTTTTATTTCATTTTAAACAATGGAACTTTATAAACTTAAATAAATATAAAATGTAATTTGATATAAACATAGTTTCTATTTACAATTCATTACCTGTAATACGTAGTTAAGACATTTAACATTTCATTACATTTTACGCTTGTTAACTCTCATGGAGAAGTATAAGCTGTTCAATAACTCTATTCTGGGCAATTATTTCCAGTTGTTTATAGTTACTATTCATTCGTTTCACGTCCGTTTTCAATTCGTTTACAATACGTTCCTTAGTCTTTCACTTTTCCTATTTATTTCAAGATTCCAAGTTAGCACTTGCCTCTTGATACAGTTTGATGATTCTTCAATGTATGTCCTATCCACTTCTAATGTCTTTTCCTAGTTCCCTCTCAGCTGGAAGTTGATCTGTTCTCTCCCACAGTAAGCTGTTGCTGATGGTATCCTACCAATGGATATTGAGTATATTGTGTAGACAACTGTTTATAAATATATTTACTTTTTTCGTTCTGGTTGTAGTAGTTCCCCAAGTTTTAGCTCTGTACAGTAGAACTGTCTTGACGTTCATATTGAAGATTTTGACTTTGACATTGATTGGTGGTTATTTCGAGTTCCATATGCGGCCCTTGCTTTGCCAAATGTATATGAAATGGAGTCCATTTATTTACTCAATGATAACTATAACCAATCGAGTGAATATGATCTTCAGTATTTTATTGTGTCCTTATAAGGAATATGGTAAATTTAGGTAGTATGTTCTTATTGTATTATTGAGTTACATATAAATGTTGACTCCATCAAATGAATACTTTATAACTGCCATTCACTGAAATGTTTACTGTTACTCCAGACATAAAGATTAGTCTCAAAATCATCACGGCGGAAATCAAAGTGATCTGAATAGTCTATTTTGACATAAAGTTGAGCAGGAATATAAGTATATATATATATATATATATATATATATATATATATATATATATATATATATATATATATATATATATATATATATATATATATATATATATATATAGTTTGCTGTTGTGACACTTTGTTATCTTTTTATAATAATTTAGATCTTCTGAACACTTCTAGTACTTCCAGGTACCTTTTAAATGTAAATTACTGGAAGGAGTTTGTGCTTCCTGGTTTTCCATAGTAGTCTAGCTTTAAATGACTCATGATTTCAATCTGTAAATTATTGGAGTTTGAAGCGTGAACAATTAAACATCCGCTCAGTAACCCCAGGGTATCAAGCTCATCGTGAAGTTCCGAATTTTTACATTCGATTACTGGAGGAGCTGTATGTGCGAACTCATGAGGAGGGATATACTACCATAAAATAAATGTCCGGTTTACTACTCCCCTCAGTAGTTCTCTAACTACGGTCAGTTCGTGATACAAACTACAAATTGAAAACTTTGCATAAACTTCCTATACCAATCATGAGTATAACTTTCATTTCTACCAAAGTTCTTATGGTTAAGGGAAGTCATTGATATTTGGCTCATATAACTGACTCGATTTCAATAGATTGATTTGATTTGAGATCTAGATCTTCTAATACTTAGCTGAAAATGTTTTTGGTCGTAATTAAAATCCATTTAACTTTAAATTTTCTGAGGTTGACTACATTACTTAAGTTAGTCAGTAGCTAACAGATAAATAAAAGTATTTTTAGGATTATGAACGTTGAAGAAATAAATTGATATAGAGCATTAACTTATTTAGCATTTTTGAATCCAAACTTTTGATGGTGGAATTATCCCGTAAAAATACATCGATAAAATTACAATCCACAAAAAGCTTTTTAGCCTTAATAAGAAACCACAAACAGTGGATTTCAGTCATGTCGAAAGTAAGACAGTTATTTACAACAAGCAGTAGAAGATTTTCGCAAAAACACATGTTGAGTTGAATAAATACCAACTCATGGATCTAGAAATTAAACCTCCATATATCAGACCAAATATGCTAGATTCGATTCCTTGAAGTGAAATCGTAGCTCCTCAATTCACAAGATGTCTCGTACTACTTCCTAGTTTTCAACGGTCATCTAATCTAAATCAATTATTGATCTCAATTCATAAAATACATTTGAACATTCAGCAAAGAAGTAGAGAAATTCAGTTAAATTTAATTCAATATTAATATAAAACTTGAGTTCATAAATCAATAAATCTGATAAGATTTTCTTAATAAAATTATAAAACAAAAAACTTACGTTTCATTAAATAATTTTGACAATCATCAATATGATTTGAATTGGATAATATTAAAGGAGTTAATTGCTCTGCTGAATAATCAATAATTACATTTTCTATTGAATTTCTTTCATTTGTATTACATAATTGAATAAGTGGGAAAAGTTTTTGCGGATTATTTTCATTATTACTAGTTAAACTACTATTATTATTAGTAGTAGTATCATAAATAATCGATAAATCGTTTTGCTGTTGATAAGAGGATTTTGTTAATAAATTTGGAAAATAATTTTTTTTTATTATTTCAACATTTTTATGAAAATTATTATTCTCTCCAAATAAATTAATTGAATTATTTGATTGCAAAAAATTAATTAAATTGGGAAATTTATTATTTATATTTAATGAATTATGAGATGTGGATATAGTTGATTGAATATTATAAGATTGATTAGCTTCAGTTATTGGATCGGTTGATAATAATGTTTTATTCATAGTAAATGATTGATTACTATTATTAGTAGTAGTATGATTATGTAATGAACATTGAATAGTTTGATTTTCTAATATATAAGTATCACCATATTTTAATAATCGACCACAACTATAACAAGTGAAACATGATTCATGATATAAAGTATCATAATTAACTTGAAATATTAAATCATTTTTATTTAATTTAATACCACATCGGGAACAAGAAGAAAGTCTAAAATGAGAAATAAAATAGTGAAAGGTAACTAAGCTATTCTCTTTTTGAATAAAAAATGAATAAAACTAAACGTTTGTACTGTCAAACTTATCTACACGAATCCACATTATGCCCTTTTCTTTTTGATTTTGATAAGCATTATGTAAAAATGTCTTTTTCATCCTACTGATAACATATCAGAAAGGTTATTCTAATATTCCATCGTTGAGTTCAATGGGTGACTGGCTCACATCTGTCATGGTTGGACTCCATACTGAAATTTCTTTACTGATACATCTTGATGAAAAAATATACTAACGCAATATTATGGGTTGGTTGAAGTTAAATATTAATACTATTGGATGACGGTTTAGTAATCTAGAGATTAAGGGTTCGCGCGTGAGATCGAAGGTTCTAGATTTGAAGTCCACGTGCAGACCGCAGATGAGCATTGCTGAGTAGGTTATCAACGATGGTCTAACATTGATTGGTTCATGATCTCAATTGAAACCGAACAATTTTCATAACCTAATATTAAAAAATGTAGAGTTGCGTTGTAATTTTATCATTAAAAATTATGTCTTTTTGTAGAAAAACAAGTCAGGATACGTATATATAGAGCATAAACAAGCTTGAAATTTCCTATCGATGATTTGAGAAGTAAATCATTTGAAATTTCTATTCACTCGGTTCAATGCACATTTGTATGATAAAATAATAATTGTTTTTGATTGAGATCATGAATCGATGAATGTTGGATCACCATTGAAAACCTGGAACCACTGGATGGCCGTTTCGTACTAGTATGCGATTCTTTAGCAGTGCGCACCCACTGGAGCTAATCCGTGTCAGATAGAGACAGATATGAACCTCAGAAAATGGAGGATGGTCGCGCAATTTTGTGTATTGATTGAAGTTAGACAGTAACGCCGTTGAAAGTCAAGCATTTGCGTGTGAGACTGAATGTCCTGGGCTCGAGTCTCGTATGCAGGATCATGGATGCGCATTACTGAAGAGTCCCATATTAGGACAAAACGGCCGTCCAGTGCTTCCAGGTTTTCAATGATGGTCTAACATCCATCAATTCATGATCTCAGTCAAAATCTTAACAAAATCCATAAACCCACGCTGAAAATAATAATTGTAAAATGCATGAAACAAATTCATCAAGCTGTGAAAATAAAGATAAAAACAATAAATAGATCATATGACTTTAGATTATTCAAGAAAATATGAAAATGCTAACCCTAGAATTTGACAATGTTAAAACAAATGTTCATTAATGAATAAGATTAGTTCAATATTATAAATGAAGAAGGTATAGAGAAATTTTATAGTACAACGTTAAATAAAAATAATAGAGATTTTTTGGCTACTTTTAAAAAAATAATCATCTTCATAAACTACAGGTATTAGTTTAACGGACTAAAAAACGAGGGTTGAAATTTACAAAGTCATTTATAACGACTATCAATGTCAGCCCTATTGTATGTTAAAATTCTTTGTATAAAAAAGAAAAATATTTGAGCTAAATGATCAAACTGTTAAGTTTGTAGTTGCAGATCATAAATGACCTAAAAGTATCATTTAACTAAATTCATAGTTTTCAGAGGTGAATTTTGAAATAAGTCATCTATTTCGAAAATATTATGGGTCATTACACATTTAGTAATCTTTAGATACAGAATTTGATTATTGTCAACAACAACGACGTCCTAGCATGGGGATCTTGAGTAGCGCGCACCCATGACCCAGTACGTGAGATTCCAACCCAAAACCTTCAGTCTTGCGCGTGAACTCTTAACCTAGAGACCTATGAGCTGGCATCCAAAGGTTTTATTATCTAATTTTCTGCCATTGTCTTTAGTGGGTAACTGTCTCTATAACAGACACGGTTGAACTTCATCGATCACGGCTTCTCACAAGAACTCCAGGAAATACCTCATGAAACCAGTCACTATTGAGCATATGATGATGATTATTCATCCAGTGCTTCCAGGTTTTCCATGGTGGTCTAACTTTAATCAACTCGTGAATTCAACTATTAAAAAATTACTACAATAACCACAAAACCCTATTCTGAAAATAATACTCATTACTTGGATTACACACAATCTAAACAAACTGAAGAATCATAGTAATTCATACGTTTACATGGTAAAGAGAAATTTATTTCTATAGAAGAATGGAAAAGATTGTATCATTAAGTGATTCGTGATCCTTATTATCAAATGAGGTTACACAAGAATCAGGGATTATGAAAGACAATTGTCTACTTGATAGATAAGAAGAAAAATGAAAAACATAAAGGTCATCATAATAATAAGATCTGAATTGTTGTTAAGACATTGTTAAAACATAATAATAACTGATTACAGTTAAACAGACAAAACAACAGTTTAAATAAATCGAAGAAATAATTGAAAAAAAGGGAATTAAAGTCAAAGAAGGATGAGAGGTTGTACTTATCGTTTTTGAACACAGAGTTCGAGCTTTGATTGGTGAATCGTTAATGCTTCAACAGTGCATAAGTTTTTGATTCGATCTCTCTTCGATCCAGTTTCTTTGAAAGAAGACTTCTTCGAGGCGGTGTGACCACAGTTGATAAAATGCTTCTGTATTGAACTGGTAATTGTCTTGTATTCTCCTCTTAAAAGCCATACCAGGTAGTGTTCTGAGATATGTTTAAAAAGTGATCACTTTGTGTAGCCGATTTATTATCAAAAAATACTGCTTAATATAGATTAATTACTTACTTACACCTGTTACTCCCAATGGAGCATAGGCCGCTGACCAGCATTCTCCAACCCAATCTGTCCTGGACCTTCTTTTCTAGTTCCATCCAATTCTTGTTCATTTTTCTCATGTCTATCTCCAATTCTCGGTGTAATGTGTTCTTTGGTCTTCCTCTTTTCCTTTGGCCTTCAGGATTCCATGTGAGGGCTTGTCTTGTGACGCAGTTGGGTGCTTTCCTCAATGTGTGTCCTATCATCTTACAGCGCTTCTTCTTGATTTCCTCCTCCGCTGGGATCTGGTTCGTTCTCTTCCACAGTTGGTTGTTGCTAATGGTGCCCGGCCATCGGATCTGAAGTATTTTGCGTAGACAACTGTTAATAAACACCTGTATTTTCTGGATGATGGCTTTCGTAGTTCTCCAGGTTTCTGCCCCATACAGTAGAACTGTCTTGACATTTGTATTGAAAATCATGACTTTGGTGTTGGTTGACAGATGTTTTGAGTTCCAGATGTTCCTCACTTGTAAATATGCTGCTCTTGCTTTGCCGATCCGCGCCTTCACATCTGCATCACAACCACCCTGTTCATCAATGATGCTGCCCAAATATGTAAAGGTTTTTACATCTTCCGAATCTTCTCCGTCAAGTGTGATTGGATTGGTGCATGCTGTGTTGTATCGGAGAATCCTGTTTTTCCCTTTGTGTATATTGAGACCTACTGCTGCTGAGGCTGCTGCCACACTGTTCGTTTTCTCCTGCATTTGTTGTTGCGCTTGAGATAGAAGGGCCAGATCATCTGCGAAGTCTAGATCATCCAACTGCATCCTAGATGTCCATTGTATCCCGTGCTTTCCTTCAGATGTTGACGTCTTCATGATCCAGTCGATCGCCAGGAGAAAGAGGAAGGGTGAGAGTAAGCAACCTTGCCTGACACCGGTCTTTACTTCGAGCGAGTCTGTGACCTGTCCTCCATGCACGATTTTGCAGGTTAATTAGTGTAGATTATATGCTAAATTACGTATTATGGTAATCAATTAATTATCCATTTGTAGTTGTCAACCAACAGTTGATTTGTGTTGTATTACATATACTATGAATGTTACAAGGAAAAAAACATTTATAGTAATCTAAGTAAAATAATTTCAGAACTATTCATCTCATTAATGAACTATAGAGTTTAGTTTTGTTTTCCCAGACAATTCAACTTCAATATTCAAGTCGATGGAAGTGATAAATATGCCTAATTAAAGAGTTATACGTAGTAATAAACAATATGAGAAATGCTAGTGAATTATCATACATTTATGTTACCAAAGAAACTGAAAAATCCAAATAGAAAGTGAACAGTGAAATGATTATTTCATTCCATATACTCACTTGTAATTTATTCTTATATAGGGTTAGTTAATACAAAAATATTAGGAAATTTTACAGGGTGAAATATGGGGTGAATAATGGGGTTCCTGGTGAGGCTATAATTTATGGACGAACCAATCAGATATAAGTTAACGAATCTTGGATTTTGGTAGGAAATTCATTCATCTATTTGACTAAATAGCGTTTTAGCATTCTAGCCTATGTCAGTTAATGATGAAAACTCTAAATCTAAATCCTAACCTTAACTATCAACTGTAAATCATAATTCTAATTCCTCATACTGCTTTATAACTTTTCATTTGGTCTTAGTTAGTAGATGGACATTCCCAAGGTCACTTTAGCGTCGTTCAAAGGTCGTCTATAAATGATAGTCTCACCGGGTTCCTTAAATAATTCACTTTTTATTCAGGGACGTAAAAAAAATCGCTGGAAGAATATCCTAATGTATATTCGAAAATAGGAAGTGAGAATTCTAAGATCTAGAAAGATTTGTCAGCATTATATTAGGTCATAACTTCTAAGAGCCTTCTAAACATTTTCCTGGTCAGAAGTTTATTTGGATCTCAGTAACTTCTCATACATCATTCATAAATATGATACAATGTGTAAATCACACAATTAATTTATTCATTATTATAACTCACATATAAATATGATCAATATCTCTATTTCATTCTATGTTATTCAAAATATCTTCTACATAGTAACAGATTGCCTCAAATATATTGCAATGATTTTTAATTAAATTGTAATAATAATGGTAAATCTAAGTGATGAAATCAAAGGAGTTTTTATGAGATGTTCACAAGTTAACATGTACCTCAACTCAGTAGTTAGGCGGACAACATATTTTACATTGGTGTCTTGATGTGAACATTAACACTAAGATGCAGGTACATTCAATTGATGAGTCACAAATGAAACGAAACGAATATCTTGGGTTAAGCTACTAGCCACTATCAAATATCGATTTTAATTTGAGAAAATATCATCGTATTCAGTAATATCATATTTCATAAATGTGATATTTTAAAAATGGATTTGATCCCATTTTATGTGTTAATTATGGTATGAGGGTATATGTAATCTTATAAGTTATATATTTACATGTTTCCAAGTATCTATTAGATATCAAAACGAAATTAGTTGTTGAATGTATTCTAATTATTTGTACTCCATCAACAATGAAGTATGAACTTACATTTGATTCAGTTAGTTTCTGTCCTAAACTATCACTAATTACATTTGGTTTACTGAATTGAAACTCTTTAATATAATTGTTTTTATAGTTAACATTACAGAATAATTTCAGTTAAGCGACCTTTGATATTAACTACGAAAATGGAAAAAAAATGTCCATTGATCTCTTTTGTGATTAAACATGTGCACGCTTGTGACTAACTTTGTCAGGTGATACCGGAAATAAGAAGCCATAATCAATGAAATCCAGCTATGTCAAGTATAAGAAAGTTATCCATCAAATACATCAGAAGATAGTAGGGTGGAAATGATTAACTTAATAATTTCCATAACCCCTATACTGAAAACTTGAATAAAAAATTGATAGGTAATGAGTGTATACAATACCAAATAAAAATTTATCTCATTTATCAATCAATATCAATTTATATGCACACAAGTTGTTCAGAAATTCAAAATTTTCATATTTCCCTGTTGAATATTTTACATTTCAATCAATATATTAGAATTTAGGAGATCAGTTGAACTTGTAAATTGATCTAAGCTAGACGACCATTGAAAACCCGAAAGCATTAGATGGTTGTTCCATTCTTGTATAGGATTCCTCAGTAGTGTACATCTACGATCACGTACGCGGAATTCAAACTCAGGACCTATCAGTCTAGCATGCGAACGCTTAACCTGTAGGCCACTGAGCTGGCATTCGGTGATGTTAGTGTCTAATTTCAACCAATAAAAAAAATTGCGCAACCGTCCTCCATTGTCTGAGGTAGATACCTGTTCTTATCTGACATGGATTAGCTTTAACGAATGCTCACTGATTAGGAGTCTCACAATAGGACTAGGTTTTCAATAATGGCTAGTTAATATTCTTCACACTCAGTCTAACTGATTTTTACATTTAACAGATTATCACTTATAAATTATTATAGTGGATATTCTGTACTAATAAATTGTACTGTATAAACACATTATTCTATTTAAAATACTCCTACATTATTTAAGTTAAAATATCTCTATTTGATACCTGTGTACTTTAAAATACCTTCATTAAATACCTAAGAATATATTTTTTTAACAAAACGTTCATCATACTGTTCTTCTTTTTTCTAGAATGACTATTAGAATTTAAAAAAAGACAAAAAATACGTACACATAGAAGTAACGTGTTAACATCATCATCATCATCATCATCATCATCATCATCATCATCATTATCATCATCATCATCATTATCATCATCATCATCATTATCATCATTATCATCATCATCATCATCATCATCATCATCATCATCTACAATGGAATCAGTGAATAAACGTTTTTCATCATATTGCTTTTAACAAACAATATTGCTAAATCTTCATAATTTACACTACTGATTATTCTGATTAAAACCAGAAGAAACATAGTGAATAGATGTTTCATTCTAATATGGTACTCTTTAACAGTGTGTATTCACAATGAACGCTTAAATTTTGTATCTATAAATCTTTGTACTTTTATACTATATTGTACTGACTTTTTCCCCCCAAATAATTCCTGATCATTCTATATCTAGAGCTTTTGTCATTTGTCTTTTCAAGAATATTATTATTATTATTATTATTATTATTATTATTATCAACTTTCTTCATACCAAGATATATATAATAGTGAATAATCAAACTCTATTATCTTTAATCTGTTTTATGATTAATACAAGCATAGAATACGTCTATTGTTTCTTTTCTTGGCAAATTAACAGCATACATTTGATTTTATTGTTTGTTGTTTCTTACAAGTCAACTAGTTGTTGTTGTTGTTGCTGCTGTTGTCGTCGTCGTTGTTTTAACTTCAATATCTACATTTGAATTTATCTACCTGTTTCATCTGTCGTTTTGTTTTAATTTTTTGTTCTTTAAATATTTCTCTTTTATGAAGTAAATAGAAATTTGGAAAGAAAACAATCATACAATCCAATAGTAAAGCAAATAATTTATAACTTGTCATGCTGTGATTGTAACCACACTAAGAATGCAAACAACAATAATAATTATAATAATAACGAATATACAAATGTATAAATATATCCGTGTTATCTTCAAAAGTGTCTAGACCAATATAATATTAACTATATATATATATGCGTTTTTCTCTCATTCTGTTTTGAAGATTTTCTAGTCTTGTTATGATTATTTTGTTGAACAGTTTCATAGGATACAAGTGAAATGAAACATTTTTTTCGTTTTATACATATCTCTTTATGAAATTTTAAGATATATATTTTTAGGTCCTTCATATGAACTTGCCTACTTGACTGCCTACCTGCCTAACTGCCTGAATGTATATGTGTGTATACGTATGTGTATACACGTACTTGCGTATTTGTTCGTTTAAATCACTGATTTATTATATTGATAATCAGAATTCTATTACTTTCAGAGATTTTACATGAGTAATTTATTATTATTTTTTATATTAAATTTAATTTCATTACATTTACAGTTATTGATAGTATCCATGTCTTTTATGATGATAACGATTATTATTTCCCTTCTATTCCCTGTTCACTACACTCATGTCGTTTTTTTCTTATTTTGGTCAGAAAAAATATTATTTTTTCCTTGAAAATTCAAAAGATTTTTGGTCAAGATATTGCTGTGCTTTTTTTGTCGATTATTTACTTCTAGAGTAAAAAAAAAATAAAAAACCCGAATGACTTGATTTGCGAAACTTTCTCTCTATCCATATACACATATAGACAGATAGATTCACATGGTTTTTAATTACCTCAACTACATATATATATATACCCGATATTACTATAATCTTAAATAATCTCTAATGTATATTACATTTTATCCTTTAATAATGATCAGTTAGTTTAGATGCTTTCCTTCTATGATTTCTTTAAATCTTCCTTTCATTTATTTCAATGTCTAGTTGTATTTATGTTGACATGATGCATTTAAAAATCCTAATAAAATTCTTATATTCATGTTCATTACTATTTTAACTGTCAAATGTCTCTCCCTCTCGCGCACACACACATATATATATACCGTAACCATGTATAAATGTATGGGTGTGTGTGTGTGTGTTTGTTTTTGCACACATATTGTGTGTAACTTATGGGTAAAGAATACACAATCGTAATGTCGTGTTATTATTATTATTTTTCTTCAGTGTGAAAATCACATAAAACTTTATAGACATTAATAAATGCATTTGGTTACTATTATACATACATATATACATACAAATACTAGCACAATAGACCACAATATGCATTTAAAACAGAATTAATAATGATTCATTGACTATGGTGCAATCTTCATTAGTTTAACTTGATCATAGATTATTTCTCAGTACAAACAAGTGCACCATACTAGTGTTCCAATAACAGCAATAAAGATTATATATATATACGCAGTTCCCACTAGCCATCTCTATCACTAACATTTGAATATGTTATTTGCTTCTTTTCATCAAAAAAAAAGAACTACATGTCAAATTTTATGAATCGTTTAGGTCTGTTTAGAACAGACAAATATCGGAGAGGGGAAACAAATAAGTTAAATCTATTACAGAATTAAAAGTGAACAATCGAAATTTCACCTAGTTACTTAGTTTATATTTGATTTAAAATTAAATGAAGTTAAATGGTTAATTGTTGTCTATGTTGTTTGCCCTCTTTTTTGTCATATTAAATTTTCATGTTAGATATTGTGTATACACAGATGTCTTATGGAATAAAGGAATATTAGTTAGTAACAGACATAATAGCACAATAAGAAATGAAACCAAGAAGGAAATTATCAGGAATAAACACAATAGTCATTTGCATACATCATATTCTCACTAATCTTGTCATTCAAATAAACGTAGAAATTAACCACAAGAAATGATGATGAAAACACAGAGACTATAGGGAAAGATTAGAGATTAGGTTAGATGGAAACGTCATAGTTTTTAACTGTTGATAGATTCAATGAAATGTCAACCAACTTAGTTTTTATTTTAAAAATGTTCAATTTATCATCCATGTTTATTCATGTGTTCGTTTATTCGATTGATTCAAGTTATCAACAGTATGGTGCCTGAAATTCATTCACTTTTTTTACGAGTTATTATAAGTAGATAAGTATTGTCAAGAATAATTCGAAATAATTTTTTATATCTATGATTAGTATAGATTTTATAAATTAGAAAAGCTAATCTCCAATCGGTTAGGTGGAAATAGTAATAATCATTCATATAGAATAGATGGAATATGAATAGCAGTGGAATCTGGAACGTGCGTTACGTCCCATCTGATACTCGTCAGCTAGATGCAACTATTGTATCATTAAAAGCATTGAAACCAAGGTAACAATGAGTGTTTACTTTACTGACGAGAGTCTGAAATCAATAAATTTGGAACGATGAATAAGATATTTTTTTAGCTCGGATGGTTCTTTTACCAATAGTGCATTCTGTTGACTGGATAAAGGTTTCATTATTATTTAATAGATCAGAAAGTCCACTTTCACATGAGTCGGGGAGTTTTTACTGTTGTCTGAAAATAACAATGAAAGCTTCGTGATAAATCCATCCACCTTAGAAAACAGAGCATTGTTGAAAATCTATGCTACTAATACGCGACAATCCACATAAATATTTTGGTGATTGGATTCTATTAAAAACAGCAATATATGTAATCTAATAATATGAACAATTCCTAATATTAATAAATAGTTTGAATTATTTTTTCTGGTTAGCGTTTTTTTAGCGAGGTAGTTTACTACGGGATGGGGTCGCTAACCTCATGACAAACCCTCCTCCTTTATCAGAGCTTTGGACCGGCAGTAGCCTCAGAGGGGCGTCAAGCAGAGAAATGGAGACAGACATGAAAAGAATGAACAATAATTGGATAAAAATAAAGAGGAAGGCCCAGGACAGAGTGGGTTTCAGAATGCTGGTCGGCATCATATGCTCCATTGGGCGTAACAGGCGTAAGTAATGTTAATAAATAGTTACGTTTGAAAATACAGTGAAGTTTCACCTTAAAACTGACCACTTTTTTGTAAGGTTATAACAGATTAGTTTTAATTACTTATATAAAACTGATTCCTTGATGATATACTGATGGTTCAGGAAAATAAAGGTTTCTGAACAAACATAAAGCAAGCTGTAACTTAAAAATATTTAGACAATGTTCCATCACTTGGAGCGTTAGTAGTAGATGTGGAAAACTGTAATAATATGTTTTCGCACGCACTTAAAGGCTTAGTTATCTAGGAGCTTGATACTAAAAAGTGAATGAAGATAGTAATAAGCTTAACATTAAGGTTTTATACTTACTGAAATATGTTGAAACTTCGGTAGTGAAGTTCATTTTAATGAAAAAAAAATACTTGAAAGAAAGATGTTATTCACCATACAGTATGAATAGGTAAGTTCATGTAGGATTTTAAAACTAACACCGAATATTATCAATGATAAATGGAAACTACTGTTAGACAGTATAAACTGAAGAGTTTGTTCGAGAACTTCTCCATTGACAGTGGTAATAAATTCGAACACAAAATAATAAATTTACATTCTTTCGACACTAAATCAAACATGAATACAAATCTTATTAGTCAAAACTTTCGTTCTATTTTCTGTTAGCTTCATATATGGTATCACTGTTAAGCTAATATCACTACCTAAACTCATTTCAATTATCATGTTAGTATTCTTTTTAAACAATAATTATCAAAGTGAGTTCGGCTAAAAATTAAAAAGATAATACATTTACAATACTAGATGATTGTAAACAAATGGTAGTAAGTCATGTACTTGGTACAAGCAAGTACTAATTATCAAAATGTATATTCAGTCTTGAGAAATTTAACATTCCATATGAGTTTTATGCTCATCATTCATTATCATAATCAATAATGCAATCACTGACATCTATTTAAACTAAATGTACCCTCTTAAAAATCTTTGAGCAATCACAATCAATAGATGAAGTAGTTATTCACTATTTCTTAATACCCATCAATCATTTTAACTATAATATCTTAATTCCAAACTTCTATTTTCACTTACCTTTTATAATGTTCACGACAGAAAACCATATCATTTTTAACAAAACATGTTTTCTCCCATTGTAATGTAATACCACATTTATAACATCTTAAACAATTCAAATGCCAATATTTATTATCCATACATAAGAATAATTTATCATGTATACATTCATGACATGAAGTACAATGTAAATTAATTAACTCAAGTGATTGTGGAAATGTTGTTCGTTTATCTTCTAATCTGTCTGATAATATTATTGATGCTGATGATAATAATGACGATGATTCTACAGCTGATGTTTCCGATATCGAGGATGATGATGATGATGATGTTGATGTTGTTGATGATGATGATGACGACGATGACGACGACGATGATGATGATGATGATGATGACAATGACCAAAGTTTTTCCGTCACATTACATAAATTAGGAATATTTGAGCTTGCAAATTCATAGGATAAATTTTTACATTGTACAGTAGAAAATTCATAATCATTACTTTCAGTAGTATGATTATTTTCAATTGAATTCATTGAATTATTTGTAATTGAAATAGACGGATCAACATTCATTGAAAATTCTGTTTCATTTTTAATTGGATCCCATAATTTTGAATAGAAATTCGTACACTAAACAATAAAATTGTGAAAAAAAGCCCAGAAAATTCTATATATTTTCTTATTAAAAACAAGCTCAATTTGATTAATAAACTATGGATTTAAGAAATGGTATCAAAAAAGAAAAACAAAAAACAAATGTCAAAAGGAAATATTATAGTGATTTTCATAGTTGAGATAATAGGTCAATTGAAACTAGACCACCATGGAAGACCTGGAAGCACTGGAGGGCGGTTTCGTCCCATTGTGGGGCTCCTCAGCAGTGCGCATACACGATCCCGCCACCTGCGAGATTCAAACACAGGACATATCAGTTTCGCATGCGAGCGCTTAACCACTAGACCACTGAGACGGCATCCAACGGTGTTAATGTCTCACTTCAACTAATCCACGAAATTGAGCGACACATTCATTATTGTCTTCAGTGAGTTACCATCTCACAACAGACGTGGTTAAGTGTTCGCGCGCTAGACCGATATGTCCTGGGTTCGAATCTCGCGAAGCGGGATCGTGGTAGCGAACTGCTGATGTGTCCCACAATAGGACGAAACGGCCATCCAATACTTCCAGGTTTTCCATGGTTGTCTAGCTTCAACTGACTCATGATCTCAACCATTGAAATTACTATAATATCCACAAAACCCATCTGATATTGGACATAAGATCTATTTCAAAAATTTATTTATACACATTATGGTAATATTATAAAAACTATTAATTCTTATATTCATTCATAAAATAAGATCAAATAATAGACTACTGGGGTTGTTTTTTCCCCTTCATTTGTATAATTTATTATTATATATATTACGTAATCACAGCAATGGTTATTATATTTCAAAATTAGAATTTATTGAATGATTACTTCAAAGAAGAAATAAACGTAACCACAGACTGAATAAAGCTGATATTTATTAAATAGTAAATAAATAGAGGAATGCACACACACATACATATATATATATATACATACATACATACAAACATATACCTAAATGTGTATATACATCGATAGTTAGCTAGAAAATAATGGGGGGACTTTTTTGTTTTTGATAATATTGAAAATTTCCCAATTTAAAACAGTAAAATTAACTTTATGATCTGTGAAAAAGTAGGGGGATCAAAGGGAGAGAGAGAGAGAGAATGTTCATTTTGATTCTATTTCAACTTTGAAAACGTTTATAGTCTTTATTGTGCTACTTTTCTTCTCTCTCTCTCTCTCTCTTTCGTTTTAACATTTTCATTCTATTTTTTTTCTTTTTTTTTGTTGGTTGGTGTAAAATTTTCATTATTCACCAATTTTTTTTCTACTTTCTTATATGTGTATAGGTTTATTTACATTGAAGTATGAATGATATGATTATTGTGTGTAGTAGTTAGTGTGTACTTAAATATACTTTTCTATAGGTGTTACAGTGTTATATTCATAGATCCGAAATTATTCCATCTTTGTCTTTCTATCTATCTATCTGCCTATGTAACTATTTTCAAACGTGTATCCATGATTCTGAATCCGCAAAATAACTTTTTATGATATATATACTTGTACATATCATAGGAGGAATAGTTACACTGATAATCTATGTCTTAATGTGAAAAAAAAACAACTGAAAAACTTATCCCTATAAAAATTTATACTTCATAATTTCTTTGTTAAAATCATAGACTTGTATTAATTAAGCAACTATACAGAACCGGTAAGCATTAGATAGCTATTACATTTTAGGAAGAGATCTCTCGAGAGTACGTAACCATGATTTCCCCCACTAAGGATCGAGTCCAGAACTTTCAGTTTCGCAGTGAATGCTTAACTTCTAGATTACTGAGAATACATTCAACGATGAACATGTTTAACTTCAATCGTTTTGTAATGTTGTGCAACAATCTTCCACTGTACTTGATGGGCAGTGGAGTCACACTCGACTTGGTTTAATGTGTTAGTCATTGAATTGTGGATCATTGATCTAGGGATTAAGCGTTTATGCGCGGGAACACAGGTTTTGGTTTTTATTTCTTGTAGTAAGGTCATAGATGTGGACTTCTGAATAGTGCTATATGAGGATGAGACAGCTTTCCTATGTTTCCTGGTTTCCAGTTGATTTTTAACCACTACCAGTTCATGATATTAACAACATAGCATTTAGCTGTTAATAATATTTATGTAATAATGATGTTATGCGTTTTGTTCGAGGGGAGGTTGTCTACGATAGTATTTGATACAAATTTCCGCTATTCACTGACTTGTTACTTTAATTGTCTAATCTTCCGGTAAGTTATGACAAAATCTAACAATCTTACCGCGAAGTTTCATAGTGCCACAGTGAATAAAAAGAAGTTATAATTGTTATGTTACAATTTACTTCACAAATGACTTGACCTAACTTAAAAAACGTCGATGAGGGTAAAATTAAGAATAAAATTATCTACCACTGAACATCATAGGTTTATAGCAATATATATTTACTAAAGCTATATGGTGATTATTACGGGAGTGGAATTGTATAGTCAATACTATTGATCTTGATGTTGGTTCCCATAATCTCACCTGGAAATGAATTGACTATGTTGATTTTGCCAATTCAACAAAGCCATTTGAACTTTTACTAAAGTTAGTTATCAATTAGTGAATGACTAATATTTGAGTAGAATGTCCTTAAGCGTTGTTCAATCTGGAGATAGTTTTGATGATGGACTGATTTCTAACTAAACAACCATTGAAAACAGAAGTTATCTGGACATCCATTTCATTATAATATGAATTTCTTTAATTGTGCTAACACAATATTCATCACGGGATATGACTTTTCTAAAGCTTTTTAATAGAATTTAGATTCACCGAATTCATACAGCTTCCGTGAAAATACACTTACAAAATATCCTACCTTTTACTCGCTTTAGTTTGTTTTCGACTCTGTATTTTAAATAAACTATTGCGTGTTTACTTTTTTTCTATCAAAAAGAATCTTTATTAAGACTTGCTTCATAGGAGAAACGGAATTATTCCCATGGAACTTTTCGACCTGTTCTAAAGCAACATTCATTTTATTACTTTACTTGTTTAACGTTTATCTGTCTCCAACTATAAACTGTACAATATGATGACCAGATAAGCCTGTTCATATTATAAACACAAACTTATCTTCCACATCATTTTACTTGATAGAGTTTGAACAAGAAACCAAAGGTCCTAGGTTCGACTCCCTGTCTCAAAGTTGTGGATGTGCACAGCTGAGTAGCATATTAGGACGGAACAGCCATTTAGTGCTTAAAGGTTTACAGTATTGGTCTAACTTAGTTCGGTTAACGATTTCAATGAAACTCCATCTTATTCATAAATACATTAGGCTTGAATTTTATTTTACTCGTTTCCGTATTGAAATGATCTATTGGAGAAATATAGATAGATATATTATGAATAGCTTCATTAAGGAAGTATTTTATATAAATAGAAAACTCCTTGAGATTGTACTACATAAAAAGTTGATTAGTTCTTTAATTACTTTAAGTCAACATTAACAAACAGTCTGTGATGTAAAACTATGAGAGTACAAAACTCCCCCCCCCCTAGAACATCAATACTAATAAATATCATATGCTATTCAGTAATTAACTTGGAGATGCTACTCCGAGAGTTCGAATTAAAAGCTGTGACTGATGAAGTTCATCCCTATCAACTATGAGACTGTTATCTACCACAGGAAATGTATAATGATTGAATGATACCGTGAATTGATTAAAATTAGACATGTCATACCATTGTAGTCCATCTTAATAATCTACAAGTTTATCCGTTCACATATCTAACTTGGAAGTTCTAAATTTTTATCTCTTATAATTGGATCCTACATGTTCACTTCTGAAGAGTCTTATATTGAAATAAAATAACTATTCAATACTTCTTGGTTATTAACGAACATCTAATTAATTATGAACATTATAAACAAAGGTAATTTTTAATTTAAATGTACTACACTGTATTTTTTGTTGTTGTTGTTGTTGTTGTCGTTGTTGTTATTGTAAACTTACTTCTCTTTTATTAATGACCAAAATAAAAACCAAAAAAATTTTTTTATTTTTGTTTCAGTATGAAATGATATTTCAGATTTTTGTGTGTGTAAAGTGTACTAGATATACCATTACATTATTATTATTATTATTATTATTATTATTATTATTATTATTATTATTATTATTAAAACTTGTAGAGAACAGAGTAAACAAATTTCACTTTAATGTTACAAAATAACTACTATGACATTATTAAATTTATTTATAGAGTGTTACATTCCACATCTTTGAAATTATTTAATTTGTATACCATTTTCTATTGACTAAATGTATGTTGTAGTGAAATAGTCTATTTATTAGATAATGATTAGTTTGGTTGTTTGTTTTTTCTTTTCTTAAATCTTTAGAATTATCATATAGTTTCATTGTTATATTAGAGTTAAAAAATTTAATAGTTGAATTCATGAAAGCATTGGATGGTTGTTTCGTTCTAGTATGAGATTCCTCAGTAGTATGTATCTACGATCCCGCCTCGGGGGATTCGAACATAGGACTCATTAGTCTCGCGCTTGAACATTTAACCTCTGGATCGTTGAGTCGACGGTGTTAGTGTTTAACTTTAATCAGTTCATGAAATTGCACCACCATCCATTGTTGTCTTCAGTGATTCTATATTACTTACAAATACTTACAAGTTAGAATGCTCTTAAATTACATTAATGAATATGTGACTAACTTAGTTATCAGTTAGTAGGACATAGCTCAAACATGTATCGATTCAAGTTGTCACACTACATCATCATAGAGATATACCATAGCATATGTAGTAATAGTACTAGTGGTAGTGGGAAGATAAATTATAGAAAATATGATTAGAGAAGAAAATATAAGTTCCTAAAATAAAAGCGAAAACTTTTGAGATAATTCAAAATCTTAATACCTAGTAGAAACTAAACAGCTAATTCAACTGTTTCATTACGAATGATGCTGAGACATATTACCTA